CTGCTCACACTAGTAGCATTCCAGTTTTAATTGTCCTGTTTCATTTTGAAGTCACAGTATGTTTACGTGGAGGGACAGAATCACCAAGAAACGAATGGAAATTCCAACGAAATATTCTTTCTTTTCAAAAGTTTTGCTTCAAATTTTATAGTTTCCATATAACTCATCCTTCATTCTCAATAGACCTAATCCGCTTGGGCGTAATGTTTTCCCAATTCAGTCCCATAGAGGAACATTTTWAAGTTTAAATATGGTTGTGCATGAGAAGACACATGAATATGGATACGACAAGAACAATGAATATTACTCTCAAGGGAATGACATGTGGTCTGAAATGGGAACAAATTACGCCCAAGTAATAGACTTTTTCGATGTAACGTCAAAATGGGATGTCTTTTTTTGTTGTGGGGGGGGGGAGGGGGGGTTGGTTTTGAAAGGTTTTGAAAAGCTTGGGGCAGAAACCTACCCAAAAAGGCCCAAATTAACCACTGGGCTCATGCTGATATTAAACGACAATGACAGAGTGATAAATATACTACATTCACGCCATGCGATAAATCAGTTAGTAACAGACAACTTTTTTCATAGCACATCATTATATRCTACCGTTTTCCTCTTTAGGCTCCCCTGGCTTATTTGATAAGCCCCCCTACCCCCTCTCTTTGAAGCCCCTCCCTTTTTTACGACTAAAGAAACACAATTCTTATTACACTGACAAAAACCTTCATAGGATAATTTATTTAGGATCATTCGCCATATCATAATCATAATAACTTTCAAACTTGAGATCTCATYGGCAATAACATTCTCATCTTATTGAAAAGTTTGGATTCCATTTTTGAACCCCATTTAATTCCCAATGTTGGTTTTTAATCTTCAAACATCCCCATTATATTTTCAGTTGAGAAAAAATGCTGTTCCCTTCCTAAATAGCTGCAGAGGATTAAAAAAATAGTTTTTAAAAGTACTTGAAATATTCCAACATTGGGTTATGGTTTTCCCACTTTTCTCCCACTATTTAGAAATTTTCCGATTGTTTTCGAAATTTGGATTCAATTTTTCCTGTCTCTCATTAAAAAGCCATTCAGGGATCGCGGATCAGACCATTATGGAGTTGTATAGGGCTTGAGAATTTGGCCAAGACAAACAAGCATTAGGGATCACTGTCTCGCCATTTATATCATGCATTTGCGCGCCATCATAAGCAAAGAGTTGGTAGGAGTTTACCTGTTTCTCTGGCTTAGCGGTCCCTGACAWTGATGCTTTACGATAATATACCAACCTGCGACAATGCAAAAGGAATCAAACATAAATGCTTTTTTCAATTAATGTCTTCCGGCYGAGACTGAAGAATAGTTAGATAAAGAGGGTCTATATAGGGTTGAGCCYACCCCGTTTACATGTGGATTTCAATGATTAGTGATTATCAACATCTAAGTRGTAGCTATTTAGGCCCCCAAAACATTTGGATAAGAAAAGGAAGAATTTGAAGAGGCTAGGATGCTAGCAGCAGCTGCATAAAGATGTGTTATAAATATGGGAAATTCATGGGCCCTCTTGCTGATTGAAGAACTTCACCATATTTTTGTTGTTTGTTTCTCTGAACTTCCGAAATGCGATGTTTCTTTTTATGTCTAAATTGGGAGACATCAATTAAGTAAGCGCTCAGAAAAACAGGGTTTTTCGCAACTTGCAACCCATCAATGTTGGCGGCGCGCGCCAGAAATTTTGGATATCTCTCGAGCTGAAATCCTGATTATGCGCTAAGGCTGTAATCGTGGTTTGACTTAATCGTTTGACTTGAATGAACACGGTAAATTTGCCTAGTTAAAGTTCTAAATTACCATGCATGTGCGGTGAAACTGGGAAAAAGTTACCGAYATAAAATTAATTTACACTGGTGAGACTTTTCCACTGGGAGAAAAAAGTGAATAAAATTGGAAAGGGAAGCCTGGAAATGTGGCACACAGAGCTTTGAGAGGGGGGGGGGGGAAGGGTATCCAGAAGAATATTAGTTACTTCCATTTGAAAAATATAAAAAAGACAATGAAAAAAAACCAGTAAAAAGGGCATTTCATGTTCAG